TATATATATATTATATAATGTTTTTAATTTTATTTACTTTAAATTTAATTATTAAAATTTTTTTTTTTTTTTTAGTGATATAAATTTGTATAATAATATATATTTTTAAATTTTTTTTTTTTTTATATTTACATTAATTTTTTAAAATTTATTAAATATTTTTTTTTATCATTTATATAAATTTAAACTAAAAAATTTATAAATTTTTATCATTATTTTAAATTAATTTGTTTAAATTATTATTATTTCAATATTTTTTCGATATTTCTTTTTTTTATAAAATTTTAATTTATTTATTAAATTTTTTTTATTGCATTTTTTAAATTATTAATTATAATTGTTCTTTTATTATTATATAAATAAAAAATAAGTTCACATTTTTATTTTTCTAATAATTATAAATATAATTATCATATCTTTAATTTGTAAATTTTATAATAAAATTATTTTATATTTATAATTTGTTTAAATTTTCTTGATAATTATTATATTTTTTATTACAATAAAACTAAAAATAAACTTAAAAATATATTTTTCTATAAAAAGTAATATAATTAATTTCTTATAAATTTAATACAATTTTTTAACAAATATTTTTAAAAAGTATTTATTTTTAATAATTAAAAAAGATAATGCTATTTATTTATTAGTTATTAAAATAATAAATTATATTATTCTTATTCTTTATTGAAATTAATTAAGAAATACCTTTTTTTATTTTTTTTGATATTTTCGAATTTCTCTTTTAAATTTTTTTTTTATAAAAATTAAGTTTATTTATTTTTATATTTATTGTATATGTATGTATATATTGTATGATATTTTTTAATATTATATTTCTAATTGTTTTAAAATAAAATATTGATATTATTAAATTTATAGCCATTAGATCTGAGTAATATTTGTTAGCTTACATATTTATTTTATTTTTAATTGAAAAAAAACTCTTTATTATATTAAAAATTTATTTTAAAATTCATTTATAAAGTTTTTATGACTATATATTATATCTTTAATAAAATTTTATTTTTTATGTTTGGTTTTTCTTTAACATTTTTTATAAAAAAAATTATGGATTTTTTTAAAGATAATTCTTTATTTAATTAATAAAAATTAATTTTATAATATATTTACCTTTATTTGTAAATAAAATATAATTACAAAAATTAAATTTTTATTTTTATATTTTGCTTAAAATAAAAATTTGAATAAAAAAAAATATATATTTTATAATATAAAATATTATTTTTTTGTTATATTTTATAATAATTATTATTATGAATTATATATATAAAATAAAAATATAATATTTTATATATATATATATATATATATATATATATATATATATATATATATATATACCATTATTATTATTATTTCAATTTTTTTTTTTATTTTAAAATACCTTAATTTAAATAATCACTAAATTATATATTTTTTTTTTTCAAATTATATATTATTAAATTTTTAATACAAAATTAAAAAAATAAATATAATATAAAAAACTATTAAAATAAAATGAAAAATTATATTAATTTAAATATATTATTATAAATAATTTATTTTATATATATATATATATTTATTTATTTATTATCATTTGAATATAAAATACAAATATCTCTTTAAAATTAATAAATATAAGTTAAATATTTGAAACTAAATTATATAAAATACAAAAATCAATTCAATATAAATTAAATATTTATAAAAAATTTTTATCTTTTTATTGAATGTAATTAATTTTTTTTATTTTTATTTTTTTTTATAAAATATTCTTATTTTAATAACATAAAAAATTATAGAATTTAATTTAAATTATTTAATAAATAATTAATTTTATCATATATTAAATTATTATCTTAAAATTAAAACCTTAAACTAAAATTATTTAATCAAAATCTAAATAATAATAAGTCAGTAGAAAAAAAATAGAAAATAGAAAAAATCTCAATATAAAATAATTTTAATAACCTCTATTTTTGTTCTAAATGCCCTCTTACATTAATGTATCAATGAAAAAAAAATATAAAAAAATACGTATACAAATCAATTACTGAATCTTTAAATATATATAATTTATGAAAATTCCCGTAATATGGTAATAATCTACGATGATATGTCTTATATCTAAAAATTGCTTTCAAACGCTTAAGATAAAATTATAACTACTTACTGCAAAAAAGCGCATATAATTAGATATTGAATATTTTTCTTGTTTAATAAAAATAATCCTAAAATCTTTAATCATTATATATATTAAAATTCCGAATCTTTGATTTTCCTACAATATATGAAAAAATTCCTATTTTAAATTTATAATATGAAATTGATGAAAATGAAGATTATTAAGCCAATCCATTAATGTGTAAATTTTACTCTATTATAAGATCCACTGATGATTTAGTTATCTTTAATTAAATTAGCAGACATAGAAATTTGAAAATCCTATTTAATTTTTAAAGATTTAATTGAAATAGTTATCCACGAAACCACTCACTCATGTATTAGGTTTTAGCGATAATATTATACTTTAATGAGTAACTTCTTAGGAATCTCTTTATATTGACCCGAACTCATAACGTTTTGAGGTTTACTTAAAAATATTTTCGGATGTGCTACATTAGATCATAGGCCTATTTAAACAATAGTCCAAAAAGGAATACATGAAAACATCAGTATCTAATACTTAGGCCTGTTTTAGTAGTTTTATAATCAATCTTTTAAGGTAAGGTATACAGGTTTCTATACTTTAATAAATGACTTTATGGAAGAATAAATTTTTATGGAAAAATGTTGTAAACACGTTGTTATTTTTTATATGTAGAACTTTAAATAGAGAATATTGTAATTCTGAAAATTGATTAAGGGATTATGCAAATTTATGGTTCAGATAAATATACGAGAAATGCTTTAAAGGGAGTTTATTATCTAAAAAAATAAATAGAAGAAATTATAGAGATAATAAATATGAAAAACTATTCTAATAAAATTATATTTTATGAAAATAATAATAATTATTTAAAAAAAATAAAAATAAAAAGCATTTGTAATTTATAATAAAAAGTAATATATTTAGTGCCTATCAAATATATATAAATAAATAATTAAATATAATTATTTTATATAAAATGTTTCTTTCAAATTAATTATTTACTTCTTTTTAAAATTATAAAATTAATATCTAATAATAAATTATGGTTTTTAAAAATATAATAAATTTGATTATATTTACATAAATATTTAATATAATATATTATGATTAAATATTATAAAATATGATATTATAAGACTTTCTTATTTATTTCATAAATTGTTCAATATATTTGATATATTTAATAAAAAATCTTATAATTATATGTAAAAAAATATATATAAAATTATAATTATTGTTATATACATAATTTTATTTATGTTTTTCAAATAAATAAAAAATTAATAATTTTTTTAATATAAGAATTTAAATAAAATATATAAGAAATTAATTATTTAAATACCACTTTTTAAATTTAAAGAAAAATATTTTAATTACTAAAACTAATTAGAATCATATTTGTAACTTATATATAGTTTTATCCTTAATTTGGTAAAAAAATTAAAAAATAAAATCTAATTATTTGTTTTATAGATTCTAATAATAATTTAATAGATTTTACAATATGTTAAGAAAATTATAGAAACAGTTTATTAATAAAAAATGATACCGAAAATGTTAAATAATAATAAAAACGAAAATAAATATTATTAATGTTATAACTAAGCAATATAAAATTAATCAAATTAGTAGTTTCTATTGATTTTATAGAAAAAAATAATTTATATAATAAAAATATAAATGAATAAATACATAAATTAGAAAACAAAATCAATAAATTTAATTATAATGAATCGTAATTATAAAAAAAAATAAAAAAAATTAAACATTTTATAGATAATATTAAAAAATAAAAAAAAATTATATTAAATTAAAAATATTTAAATTATATTATTAAATAATATTCAATAACTAGTAATAAAATAATATAATAATAAAATAAATCTAAAAAAATAAATTATTAAGGTTAAATTAAAATAAATGTAATTTTCGTTACTGAATATCCTAAAATTAAAAAAAAAAGTAAATCTTAATAAAATATACTATAAAATAAAGCAAATACTATAAGAAAAAAAAATGTATATATTAATAAATAAAAGGTTATAATAAAAAAATAAGAAAAATAAATGTTATATTATTCAGATAATGGAAATATTATATATATTATATTATGTAATGATGTGTAATATTATATAAATATAAAAATAAATAAATTAAATATATTATATTTATAGTAGGTCTAAAAAATAATTTATATTTATTAATTAAAAAAAAAAATTAATTAATATATTAATTAAAATGATAGAAATAATAAATTAATAATTTATATATATATATAAAAAAAAAAAAATAGATAAATGTATAATAATTATATATATATACATAATATGAATTATATAATATATATATATATATATATTATATATATTTTTTTTATATTTACTTTATTTTTATTTTTTTATTTTTTATATATAATTTAATTTAATTTTATTTTTTTTCTTTCTATATATTTTTTTTTTTTTTATTTTTATATTTTTTTATAAAATATATATATTTATATTTTATTTTTATTATTTTTATATATAAATTTTTAATTAAAAATATTTTTTATTACATAATTACAAACAATATATAATATTTATATAATTTATTTATTTATTAAATATTATTATTTATAAATTTTAATTTAAATTTCTCATTTTTTTTTAATAGGTATTTTATTAGAACAATCTTCTCCATAGAAATCTTTTTTACATTCACATTTATTATTTAGACAATATCCGTTTTAACTACAGAAATTCTTACATATTTTTTTCAACTTACAAAATTCTGTTATATTTTCTGGACATAATACAAATCCAGTATAATTTTCTACTGTTTTTTATTCCGAATTTTTATTACAAACGAGTTTTACTGATTCTATATATATATTTACTTATTATCCATTAGCACTACATTCATATTTATAGCATTGACCCTTAATTATGTTTCTTTATTTATATCCTTTAGCCAATAAGCTTCCGTTGAAACATCTCGAATCAGTACCAAATTTATTTCCATTTGATTTTGTAATTTTGCTATCGTTAAATGGACTGTTTACATCAAAGCATTTTGCATTGTCGTAGACAAATAAATTATTGCAATTAGAATTATTATATAAACCAGTTTTACATTCAGCAAATCCATAATGGTGAAAATCACATAATGTAGCTTCATTTTTAGGATCACAATATTCTCTTAATTTAATATCACATTTACCCATGACTTATTCACACCCTTTTCCTTTTCCATAAAACATTTATTCTTCCATAGAGTCATTTATTTTTGCATAGTAGCCTGTATCTCTTAGAAGATTGGTTGTAAAACCACTAAAATAGGCTTAAGTAGATATTACAGATGCATTCATATATTCGTTTTGGAGGATTGAGTTTGGTCAATGAGATTTTTCAGTATCTTTGCCTCCTATATTTTAAAGAGGCATACCAAATAATGTAGGACATCCGAAATATTCTCGAGCAAATTTCAAAACGTTAGGAGTTTATAAGAATAAAGTATCAATTCCGTTTATTTTTTATGTAATAGTAGGCTTAGTATGAGCTTTTCCCTTAGAATTTACCCAATTAGGTATATCAAGATCACTAAAACCTAATATATGAGTCATTTCATGGATAACTATTTCAACTAAATCTTCAAATTAAATATCATAATCTTTATCGAAATTTATTAATATTTAATTTATATTGAAATTAATTAAACCATGAGTAGGCCCAATACCTTACAAAAATTAGCACGAGTATGCAAAAGCTTAATATTCTGAATCTTTATCATTTTTATATGATATATATAAATGTAAATCAGAATCTTTTGCATTAGTTTAATCAATTTTAGGCACATCAACAAATAAACATTTAGAACCTTTATATTTCATATATTATTCAGATTTCGGGACTATTTTTATTAAACGAGAAAAATATTCAATTGCCAATTATAAGGCTTTCTCACAGATATCAACAAATTTTTTATAAGATTAAGGTAATTTTTTGAAATAAGACATGTCATATGTTATTAACATATCACGGGCTTTTTTTAAAAGTAAATTTCGGGCATTTAAAGATTCGATATCAGGCTTGATTGATTCTTATTTGTATAATTTTTTAATTTTATCGTGGACACATTAGTGTTTTAGGACTTTTATACCAAAAATACAGGTTATTAGTAATAAAGTTATTATGAGTTTTTTCATTTTTTTTTGTTTACTTATTTTTTATTTAATAATTATATTATTTTTAGTTTTTTTATAAAGAGTTTTTAATTAATAATTAATTACTATAAATATCTATAAAATAAAATAGAATAATTTATAATTTAGAATGACAAAAAATGTTTAATAAAAATTATAATTATTAAAGTGATTAAAATGTAATAATGTATAATTTATTAATATTAGTGTTTAAATTATTTATACTATTTTTTATTTTATTCAATTATAATCATTTAATATAAATGTTTTAAATATTCATTATTAATTAAGTAGAAAAATTATGATTATTTTAAAAGAGACTAAACAAAAATTCTATTTTATTTTTTTAAATTAATTAAAAAAAAAATTTAACTTTTGGCATTCCAAAATAAATCATACTAATTATATTTTTATTTATGTATATAAATACGCATTAAAATATATATTTCTTTTTTTCTATTATAAAATAATTTAAATAAAATAAATAAAAAGTTGAAAATCAATATAATCATTTTTTATATAATCTATAATTTTAAATAATTTGAAGATTCAAATATATATTAAAAATTGATTATAAAAAAATAAAATAAGGTTTTTTAATTCTGTATATAATTTATGTAAAAATTATAATTAAAAAATCATCACACATATTATTATTAATAAATATAAGTTTATAAAATAATACAAATATTAAATAAAAGTAATTTATATATTTAAAGATAAAATTAATTCTAATAATATTTTATTAAATATATTTATTTTAATATTTATCATAAAAAATAAAAAAAATATTAATTAAAATGCTGTTATTAAGAAATAAAAAATGAAATATATATAAAAAAAAAAATTAAATTAAATTTTTATTAATAAAATATTATGAATATATAATAATATGTTTATATAAAAAAAAATATATTATATAATATTTTTTAAATAAATAAGAAAAAGAAAAAAAAATTGTATTAATTATTGTAATATGTTAATAAAAAAAATTAAAAAAATGATTAAAAAATAATAAATTTTTTTTTAATTATGAATGTTAAAAAAAAATTTAAAATGAAAAATATTAAAAAATAAATTAAAAATTAAAATAGAAATAAAAAAATGAAAAATATTATAATTTTAAATAATAATAAGGAAAAATAACTGGATATATATAAAATTCTTTATATAATTTAATTATAAAATTTAAAAATAAATTAATAAAAAAATATATTGATATAAACATAAATAAGTATATATATAAATATATATATATATATATATATATATATATATATATATATATATATATATATTTTTAACCTTTTTTTTATATATATAATTAAATTTTTTCATTTATTATATATATGTTTTTAAAATATAGTTTTTTATTTATAGAATTTTATAAATCTATTTATTTTTTTTTCTTTTTTTTTTCTATAGTTTTTATAATTATTATAATATTTTTTTATTTTTCTATAAAGATTATTTTATATTTTTTATTTCTAATTTAATTAATTTTTTAAAAATTTAATTTTTATTATTAATTTAATTATTAATTATTCTTTATTTGTGTATAAATACATTTTAATTATTTTATATTATTTTTTTATATTAATTTTTTTTTTATTTAATTTTATTATTTATAATTTTTTTTTTTTTCTTTTTTATATTTTTGATATTATTTTTTATTTTAAATTATAATTTATTTTATTCTATTAATTATCATCTTATACTTTAATATTTATTAATAATTATTTTTTATATTATAGCTATATAAATTATTGGTTTTTAAATTAATATATTTTATTTAATATATTTAATAAATATTAAAATAATTTAAAATATAATATATTAAAATAATTTAAAATTAAATATATTATAATATATTTAATATAAAAAATATATTTTTATTTTTTTACAAAATACTTTTTTAAAAAATATAATATTCACATTATTTACTTTTCTTTAATTTACTATATTAACATAATTATTATTTATTGTTTCATTTTTACAATTATATTTTAAATTTTCTTTATATAAAATCAAGTATAAATTAAATATAATTATTTATATAGATTAATTTTAAATAAATTCTAATGCTTATATTATCTAGTAATATTATAATTATTTTTAATTTTTAAAATATATTATTTTTAATTAAATAAATATATTATATACATTCAAATTTAAGTTTAAAAAATATCAAAAAAGATAAACAACTTGATTAAAATTTTTGAATAATAAAAATAATACTAATAATATTTAAAAAATAAAAAAAAAAAAAAAATTAACAGAAATATATTATCAAAAAAGTTATAATAAAGATATATATTTTTTTTTATAAAATGATAAAATGAATTAAAAAAACAAAAATCTACAAAATAATTTATTCCATAACTAGTATTTTTTAATTAACATAATAAATATACCTATAATATTGTAATAAGCTACAATATGTATTTTTTTTTTTTTTTCTAAAATTTATCTTCTAATTTTAAAAATAAAATTTTAACTGCTAATTTATATATTTATATATTTATATATTTATATATTTAATATATATATTATTATATATATTATTTTATTTTATTGTTTTTATAAATTTTTTTTTTTTAAATTATTAATAATATTTTTAAAGTATTTAAAAACATTTTTTTTATTTATTTTTTAAATAATTTTTTTTATTATAAAATTTTAAATTAAATAAATATGTTTAGTTTAATATATACACTAATAATTTTTACTATATTTTTATATTATTTTAAATTATAAAATATTCATTTTTTTTACACAGGTATATTACTAGTACAATCTTCTCCAAAGAATCCTTTTTTACATATACATTTACTGTTTATGCAATATCCGTTATAACTACAGAAATTTTTACATATTTTTTTCAACCTACAAAATTCTTGTATATTTTCCGGGCATTAAACATTTCCACTATAATTCTCTACTGTTTTTATTTCTGAATTTTTCTTACAAACTAGTTTTACTGTTCCTACATATATATTTACTTATTATCCATTAGAACTACATTCATATTTATAGCATTGACCCTTAATTATATTTTTTTATTTATAACCTTTAGCCAATAAGCTTCCGTTGAAACATCTCGAATCAGTACCAAATTTATTTCCATTTGATTTTGTAATAGCGTCTTAGTTAAATGGACTGCTTACATCAAAGCATTTTGCATTGTTGTAGACAAATAAATTATTGCAATTAGAATTATTATATAAACCAGTTTTACATTCAGCAAATCCATAATGGTGAAAATCACATAATGCAGCTTCATTTTTAGGATCACAATATTCTCTTAATTTAATATCGCATTTACCCATGACGTATTCACATCCTTTTCCTTTTCCATAAAACATTTATTCTTCCATAGAGTCATTTATTTTTGCATAGTAGCCTGTATCTCTTAGAAGATTGGTTGTAAAACCACTAAAATAGGCCTAAGTAGATATTACAGATGCATTCATATATTCGTTTTGGAGGATTGAGTTTTGTCAATGAGATTTTTCACTATCTTTGCCTCCTATATTTTAAAGAGGCATACCAACTAATGTAGGACATCCGAAATATTCTCGAGCAAACTTCAAAACGTTAGGAGTTTATAACAATAAAGTATCAATTCCTTTTATTTTTTATGTAATAGTAGGATTAGTATGAGGTTTTCCCTAAGAATTTACCCAATTAGGCATATCAAGATTACTAAAACCTAATATATGAGTCATTTCATGAATAACTATTTCAACTAAATCTTCGAATTAAATATCATAATTTTCCTTAAAATTTTCTGATAATTAATTTAAATTAAAGTTAATTAAACCGTGAGTAGGTCCAATGCCTTTTAAAAATTAACACGAGTATGCAAAGGCTAAATATTCTGAATTGGGATCATTTTTATATGATATATATAAATGTAAATCAGAATTTTTTGCATTAGTTTAATCAATTTTAGGCACATCAACATATAGACATTTAGGACCTTTATATTTCATAAATGATTCAGATTTCGGAACTATTTTTATTAAACGAGAAAAATAATCGATTGCTAATTATATGGTTTTCTCGCAGATATCAAAAAATCTTTTTAAAGCTTAAGGTAATTACTAGAAATAAGACATGTCGTAGGTTATTATCATATCCCGGGCTTTTTTTTATAGTAGATTTCGGACATTTAAAGATTCGATATCAGGAGTAATTAATTCTTATTTGTATAATTTTTTCATTTTATCGTGGACACATTAGTGTTTTAGGACTTTTAAACCAAAAATAAAGGTTATTAAAAATAAGGTTATAATAAGTTATTTCATTTTTTTTGTTGACTTATTTGTTGTTTATCTATATTTTATTTAAAAATTATATTATGTTTATTATTTTTTATATAGGGTATTTATTTAATAACTAAATACTAAAAATATCAATTAAAATTCAATAGAATAAATTAGAATGACGAATAATATAGAATAAAATAATATTTATTAAATATTATATATAATTTTATATTTAATTATTTAAATATATAATGTTAAATCTATTTTTATTTAGATTAAATTATTTTATACTATTTTTAAATAAATAATATTAATTAATTTAGATATAAATATTTTCACTATTCATTATAACTTATGTAGAAAAATTTATTTATTAAAAAAGAATAAAAAGAAATTATTTATTTTTTATAATTAGATAAAGAAATAATTATAACTTTAATAAATAAAAAAAAATTAATAATAATAATAATAATATTATAATTTATATATAAAAAAATACATAAAAATTATATATTACCTTCTTATCTTTTATTATAATTTATTTAATATATAAAATAAATAATTAAAAAAGTAAAATATTCATTTCAAGTTTAATATATATTTTAAAATATTTTAAATATTCAATTATAAATTCAAATATTTTTATTATATATATAAAAAAAAAAAAAAATTGTAATAATAATTATATTATTATAATATTTTAATAGAATTTTTCTATATTTATTTATCAAATATTATTTTATTTATTTTAAAATAAAAAATATTATATATAAAAAAAAAAAAAAAATTATATAAATATTTTAATATTTAAAATTAATTAATTGTTTGATTTTAAAATAATAAAGAATTATAAAAAAGAAAAATATAAGACAAGAAAATTAAAATTAAAATAAAATGATATAATATTTATAAATTAAATTTTTATTAATATTATTAAGTTTTATTGAATTTAAAGTAAATTTATATTAATTTAAAATAAATTAAAGTATTTTTATATAATATAAACAATATTAAAAATAAATTAAAAAAGATAAAAAATATTTACTAAAAATAAATATAAAATTAATAAATAAAAAAAAAATAGTAAATATATAATTAATAAAATAAAAACATATAAAAAAAGTGTATAAAAAATAAAAAATTAAATTTAAATGTATTTATGTATAAACAATAATAATTATCTTTGTTAAAAAAAATAAAAATAAAATAATAATAATATTATTTCTTGAATGATAAACTTTATAATATATTAAAAATATTAATATAAGAAAAAATAAATATAAATGAATAAATAAATGGTTATAAGAAAATACTTATATAATATAATATATATATATATAATTATTTATATTTATAAATATATTTTTATTTATATAAATTAATTTAAAATTATATATTTATATATATACATAAATATTTTTATTTTTTATTATATAAATATT